AGATACTACAGGAATCTTTTTTTTCCTATTAAATTGAAAAATTTTATTTTAAAAAAATAAAGGGGATTTTTCCCTCCTCGGTAATTTAAAACCATTTCCCACTGGCCAACGAACCCAAAAGGGGGTTCCCCCCTCCAAAGAACCAACCCCGTTTTTCTTCCCAAATGGGGTTAAAACGTCAATTTGATTAAATTCCCCGGGAAAAAAAATAGTAGGTACCCGGCAAAAAACCAGACTTTGATAAAATAAAACCAAAAAAAGATATAAAAACGGGAATTTAAATAGATTATAAAAAAGAAATTTATTAATTTTAATTTTAAATAGTTAACATAAAAAAGATAGAGTATTTAATTTTGATATATAGCATTTTAAAACACACAAAAAGTGCTTTAATTCATAAAAAATTTAATTTTAGGGGCTTAAAAAAACCTTCTGAGGGCATTAAAGTAAGCAAAAATGTTTTCCCTAATTTTTGGGAATTCCCACACCCCATCCCCACCAAAGCTCCAAATTGAGATCCACTTTGGTTACCTAAAAATGTCCCATACCAAGTTTTTTTTAAAAGTTTGGAATGAAAAAGATTTTAATTCTAAAATTTTAAATAAAGTTTTTATAAATTTCAAAAAGGCTTTCAAAAACCATCAAAAAAGAAATTTGTCATTTTATTTTTTAAAAAATTTTTGGAGTGGTCTGATGCATTAGTTTCTGTTTTTGGCATTTTACGTTTTCCCCTCTTTTGTGTGTGTTTTGCACATGCGTCCATGTGTGTGTTTTTTACATTATATATTTAAAACATTTTTTTAAACACCCTTGCCCAATTTCAACCAAACTTACGGGGTTGTTCCAGAGAAAAGGCCTTTAAAAAGTTGTTCAAAAGATTTAAATGATCCTAGAGCATAATATTTTGCAAAACCCTTTGGGTCGGGAAACATTCACAAGATTTTCACATTTTTACCCGGGGGGTAAAATTAGCCCGGGGCACTGGGGTTCATAGTTTTTCCCTATATGAAATGTATTTAAAATTTAAAAAATCTTCCCCCTTGAATTGCCCAAAGACAAAAAGGGTTTTAATTTGCATAACATTTGGTATGAAAACCTCTCCCAAGTTTATTCACGTTCCCAAAAAAAAAGGGCCCAAAGTAAGCCTCCCCCCTGGATCATATTTAAATTTTCCTTATATGAAATATAGAAAAAAATTTTTAAAATTTTTATTTAGAGTTTAGATACTTGGTAAAAAATATCATAAATTACTCTTTCCCAAAAATTTTCAAAGTTCCAAACTATGAAAAAAGGAAACCAAAGGGTTCATAGGTTTTCCTGAAATGTAAAAAATTTTATAAAAAAAAAAAACTTAAAAAATATTCTCCTCTGGTTAAAAAAAGGGTTATTTTTATATTTGGCATAAAAATTTTACCCTGTGTAGTTAAACCTTACATTTTTTCAAATTATAGCCCTTTAATTTTCCGAAAAATTAAATTTACTTTAGAAAAAAATTTAAAATTAAAGCAAAGAGTTTAAAAGGCTTTATGCCAAAATTTTGTAAAGGGTACAATCCCTTTTTTTTTTGAATCTTTTAATTGCCCTATGGAGGCTTTTTTTAAAGTGAATGCTTTTTTGCATGAAAAAAAATTTTTCTTTTAACTTTTAAGTCTTGCTAAAGTTTAAATCCCAAACTTTTTTGGGATTTTACAAACCCGAATTTGGCCCCCCTTTTTTTTAAATTAATGGGAAAAAACACTTAAGACTTTATTAAAAACCATTTCCCAAATTTTGGATTCCCCCCGCAGATAAAAAACCGGGTTTTTTTTCAAACCGGGATTCTTATTCTCTTCATTTCGCAAACCATAGGGGTCTTCCCGGGGAAAAACCATTTTTAGGAAGACACCCCCTTTTTTTGCCCTATTAATAGCTTAAGAAAAAAAAAGCCTAGTTTTTTTGTGTTCGAAATTGACTGTAATAAAGAAGATATTTTCTATTGATTTAAAGTAGATTAAAATCCCCAGGGTTTAAATGAAAAGCAAGTATAACAGTCCTTCCCAGGGGCTTTATTTATTTTTTTCCCCCCTTTTTTTTCCTCGTTTAGAGCACACTTTTTTTATAACGGGGGACCATACGCCGTTTTCCTGGAATCCAGGGAAAGGTCCCCTTTAAAGGTTTTTAAACCCCCGGGTATAACACCCCTCTTTTTTTAAAATTCAACTTTTTTTAACTATTTCATGTTTAAAATTTTAAATTTCTGCTTAACCCGGGTTTCTAGGGGGCGGGGAAACGGTAACTTGCCCCTTTCCATACCTCCATAAACAGGCTAAATCAAACCGACCTGCAACTTTTCAATTTTCCGTGGGGGCTTTCTTTGGGGTTTCGCCCTTAATCATTTCTTTGTCTGCTTTTAATCCATTTGGGGCCCATATAATTATTCACATTTCCTTTATTTCCCGTTAAAAACGGTTTGTTTATTTTTTTGACTATTAAACCCAAAATTTATTTTATACGTGAAAAAACATTAGTTAAAATGTTTTTATTACTCTTGGTAATGCTTTTGGTGAACTTCGAAAAAAAAATGAATAAAAAAAAAATGGGGGTAAATTTTATTGCATTTATTTAGAAAGTAGCCCACGGCCCCAAAATTTTTTATACTGTTAAAGATCTCGCACTAGGCTACGGATAGTATAGTATTACGACCGTTATGATATAAACTTACTACATATTGCATAATACTGCAGTAACCCAATAGTACCAACTTTACAAGAAGAAGTAAAAATAAAATTCAAGAATGCCTACGGAAAAAATTAAAACTACCGAAAAATGAGGGTTATAAGAATTTAAATTTGCTATCTCAAGCTAATGTTATATTAAACCCTTTCAGTCCATCTTTAAAAGTTACTAAACTGAGATTTTATATATAACCGGTCAAAATATAATGTTTTTTTCGCTGTAACTTTTATTTGAAATAATAAAAAAGAATGACATTTTACCCAAATAATTGTGGGTTTTTAATATACGTAAATATTCCTTTATCAAACATAAAATTCAACATTTGACCGTAGAAATGTGTCTTTAAAGTAGGGCATTAAAAGAGGAAAAAAATCGTCTAGACAACTCAATTTACCGGACATTGCGTTTAAAAATATTTTGAAGTCTAAAATTGAAAATTAAGCAAGGAAACTACGACTATTGAATGGCAATGTTAAGATACTGGAAAAACCCAGTTTTTCACTAAAATAGACACGACACCAGTTTTACCAAGAGGGCCCAATAAGGGGTTTCAATTTAAATTAACACATTAAATCAATGAAAAAATTGATTCTTCATAACCTCAACAAAAAACTTTTTTATTCAAATGGAATTCGTTTTTTTATCATTTTTTTTTCATTTTTGCATGTTGCAAAAGCCGTAAAACCCCTATTTTATTAATCCATAGCTGTATTAAAGTTTCTTTCCCCATGGGCGGTAACCCGTTTCCTTATATGTTTTTAATTTTTCATTTTTTTTGTAAAGACAACAACAAGAACGAGTTTTGTTTGAACGAAAATTATAAAATCAAATATGTTACGATTGTCTCTGAGGTAACGTTGAAAAATAAAAGTAAAACCTATCTAAAAGAACCATTAAGGGCCTAATATAGGGGATACGCGACAGATTATTCCCCCGCATGACCAGGTCTACTGGAAAACTAGTAAACAAAAGGGTATTAAGTAATAAAGAACTGAATCAAAAATATTGCAAAAGCAGAGTGTTTTGTTGTTACACAGGAAATTGAAATTCTAAAACTATAAACCGATAATATGGCAAAATATACCCCCTAATATACTATAAAAAAAACACAAGGAATGAAACGCCTTTCCCGCAACCCGAACATAATGTACGCCGAACAAATCAACAAAACAAATCAAAATATTCTATCTGGCCATTTCGAAAAACAATAATAAATGCATCAAATACCACCCGATAACTTTTTTAATTTTTTCGCTAGCTATATATGAATAACATTTTCTGATTACGATCTGAGTTTGTCGCCGATCCATTCCCGTGACGTGCACTTGATTTTGAATCGAGGAGAATATATTTATAAAATTATTTTAATAAGTTCCCCAAAATAACAGGTAATGTATAAAAGTTTTATACACAATATTCTATGTACCATCTTCATGGTAAAACCTTTTACAAATTACTTATTTAATACAATACATTAGAAAAGGGATAACCACCAAAGCAAGAACGGTACGTAAATCTTTTAAAATAGTACTTTCGTTTTTAAAAAAAATTGAGAACTCTATTTGATATGGCCCAGCAAAAAAATAAATTCAGCCTGTCGTAAGAAATAAATCAGTCATTTTTTCTAGTTTGACAGTATTTACTTGCAAACTTGTTATTTTTGGAACTTGTTAAAAATAATTTTAATAAATATTATTCACCTCGAATCAACATCCAGTGACGTCACGGAATGTAGTCGGCGACAAACTCAGATCGTGGGAAATAATCAGAAAATGTTGAATTATTCATATAAAGCTACGAAATTAAAAAAGTTATCGGTGGTATTTGATGCATTTATGTATTGTTTATCGAAATGGCCAGATAGAATATTTTGATCCGTTGTTTGGTTGATTTGTTTCGGCGTAAATTATGTTCGGGTGGGGAAAAGGCGTTTCATTCCTTGTGTTTTTTTATAGTATATAGGGGGTATATTTTGCATATTATCGTTAATAGTGATAGAATTTCAAGTTCCTGTGGTCGTTATTTACTTTGAAATAGAAAGTGTGTGTACGATTCAGGCCGGATGATTTTTTAATCAAGCAAAAAATAAAGCCTTATTTGACAGGAAAAGATTTTGTCGGTAAACTGATTTGCAGGTAAACATGTAGGATCCCAGTATAATGAGATGTTTCCAGATTTTTTTAACTAATGATTTCTTATGCTAAAGTGACAACGTAATTAATAAAAGGAAATTATAACCAGCTCATATTCCCGCAAAACATATGTCTCATCATTTTGTTTTACAGAACATACAAGCCACAGTAACAGAGCTCCGTCCAGGAGAGAAACACATACATCATCTGATGTTTCGTTAAAAAATGACGATTTCAAAGATATGGCTGTATCTGGAAAGAAAGCAAACAGACCGTCAGACATTCCATTTAAAAGTGACGATTTCACAAACATGGCTGTGTCTGGAAAAAGGAAAAGAAGTTCATACCTTGTCGTTGCCGCATTTGATTTCGGAACAACATACAGTGGTTATGCAATGTCGTTTCGAGACAATCCTTTGAACATAATCACCAACCAAAGCTGGATTGCAGGCTCGGAGAAGCTTATTTCGTTAAAGACTCCAACATGTGTCCTGTTGAAGCCAAATAAAGAGTTTCATTCATTTGGGTTCGAAGCCGAGAATAAGTATTCCGATTTATCTTTAGACGATGAACACCATGGATGGTTGCTCTTTAGGAGGTTCAAGATGAAATTGCACAACACTGAGGTAAATCCTGGGATAGCAATTTAATTGTCCTTTTTTCTGATTTCTTTTATGGGATAACAATTCAATTGTACTTTATTCTGAAAACTTCATGTACAGTCATGCACAGACTCAATCAAACCGAGGCTGCTGTTTTCATTCCAGATTTTCATACTAAATTCCAATACGCCTTGCCGTATAATAGTATTCTGTTTTGCTAGATTTGGTTAAGGAATGCGTTCGTTTAATGCCACCCCTCCTTGTTAATCTTTGTTCTCATATTTAAATATTCAAATGGCCGCCAAAAAACGGCAAGTTTGACTAAAAAAGATAAAATAAGAATCCCTTAAGTCCAAAGCGGCAAAATTGAAAAAGTTGCAGGCTCGAGTTTTCTGTTTTTCTGAATTTGACTGAGCCTGTTAATGGACGGTACTGTCAAATGCAAACTACCGTCCACGCCCCCCTCCCTCCCCAGCTTAAGCAGAATTCAACATTTAAAACATGAAATAGTAAAGTTTTGAATTAATAAACATCCGCAGATGTGTTCATACGGCGGTAATCATGGAACCTTTAGTTGTCAGTGGTAAATGCATGTTTCTGCCCTCACATCTAGCAAGGGCATAATGAGAATATGGTAAACGATAGAATACATTGACGTTCTAGAGAATATATGAATGTTAAACTATAGCCTGATTACTTGTAACGTTTTATAAAGTAATTGCGGATGTTTCTTTATTTCACCATGTTCAGTTTTAAATGTTGAATACTGCATCAAAGCATGTAATAGAGAACATTTACGCAAGAGCAGCTTTCACTAACTACTACAATCCATGAACAAAGGCTCAATCTAACTGATCCTGCAATCTTTTAACTTTTGCCGTTTATTGGTGTTCTTTAGAGTGTTTTTTTTACAAAAATCTGGAAACAAAGTGAAGTTAATGTATTTTAATGTATCACTTTATGTTTAAAGGGTTTATCTAGAGATACAACTGTTGAAGATGTGAACGGAAATTCAATGCCTGCGATGACGATATTTAGCATGTCTTTACGCTACCTACGGGATCACTTTGTAGAGTCACTGGAAAAGAAAACACTAGGAGTTACGGAGACTGACGTTCAGTACGTTATTACTGTTCCAGCTATATGGGACGACAGAGCCAAACAATTTATGAGAGAAGCCGCTGTAATGGTACATTGTATACAGTACTTTTATATTACTTTTATTTTCAAGTATGTCCTGTTGGGCCTTCTTTAGTGATTTTTTATTTCTCTTTTTTTATATCCTTGCACGATATTTAAACTAAGTACCATTTTGTGATCTGCATGAGGCAGAAAATCAATACAAATATTAATATCGGTCCAGGGTTCTGTTAAGATTTCTTTCATAACTTTCATAACTTTCTGAATATTTTATTCATTAATCTATTTATCTAGATTTCCATTTAAGGGGTAGAAAATATACATGTTTTATACATTGTAGAATGCATATCGCTTGTTTCAGTCTGGAATGGAAAGCAGTCGGTTGTTGTTAGCATTAGAGCCCGAGGCAGCCTCGATTTGGTGCCAGGTTGTCACAACGCAGGAGGAACAGATCCTAGCTGGAGTTGGGAGTAAATATATTGTCGTGGATCTTGGAGGTAAACCTACTTGATCATTTATACAATTTTCTATTATTCTAACACTTGATTTGTATAAACATATTTTCGCTGGCAAAATTTGACAATGTTTTGTTCTTGGGTTGTTATACTTGCATGTATGTGCAAGGTAAAAGTGTCAAGAGACTTATAATTGGGGGGGGGGGGGCTGCGTCCTGCGAACGTTGCCTTTACCTTGTTGATCTTTATTCTTGTTGCGTTCATTGAACCTTACCTTGTTGATCTTGTTTATCATATTTTTTTTCTTGTTTTTTTTTCAGTATTTTAGCCCCTTTCTATACACCTATAGGTTTTTATTTCATTAATTTATCCCCCCCCCCTTCTCCGGGTTTCCTGTGCCCTTCCCCTGTGCCCTCCGACTTTATGGGCCTATTATATTCAATCTTTTTTTTTGTTTTCTTTGAATTCCTTATCGGTTACTGAGTATATCTTCTAATGTATCATTTTAATAATTAGCTTGCCCATGTTCTGCCTTTTTTGCCCTGTCCTGATTTTGTTTGGGGTCAACCTGGGCTCCTTGCCACTGGTTCTTGTTGCTGGATCATGTTGGGGTGAATGCCGCCTTTCCTTGTTAATCTTGTTTATCATATTTTTGGTTGTTCAAACAGTTACCGGAATGTTTGTTTATCATAGACAACGCAGTAAATTACATCAATCTATATATCATTTTGTTAGTTATTTAGCATACAAATGTATAATGTAAAAGCATATTATTAGTCCCCTACCGGTTTACCGGAGGGGACTTTAGGTTTACCCTCCGTCCGTCCGTCCCTCTGTCCGTCAGTCCGTCCGTCCACAAAACTGGATCCCGCGATAACGCAAAAAGTACTGAAAATATTTTCATGAAACTTGATATGTGGATAGATGACAGTATGGAAATTATGCACGTCTTTTTTTTTCTTCCTATGTTGAAAATTCTGGTTGCTATGGCAACAAATAGACTGAAAATATGGCAAATTTTACACATAACCTGGATCCCGCGATAACGCAAAAAGTACTGAAAATATTTTTATGAAACTTGATATATGGATAGATGGTAGTAAGGAGATTATGCACGTCTTTTTCTTTTTTTCCTATGCTGAAAATTCTGGTTGCTATGGCAGCAAATAGACTGAAAATATGGCAAATTTTACACATAACCTGGATCCAGTGATAACGCAAAAAGTACTGAAAATATTTTTATGAAACTTGACATATCAGTAGATGGTAGTCTGGAAATTATGCACATCCTTTTCTTATCTTCCTATGTTGAAAATTCTGGTTGCTGTGGCAACAAATGGACTGAATTTTAAGATTTCTGATTCCTGTTTTATAAGTTTTTTCACTATAAGTTCTTTATTTCTTAAGGTGTTATCTTCAAACTTTAAATATATGTTGCTAGTCATCAACCACATCATATGTGACAAAGTTTACAACTCTAACACAAAATTTATCAGAATTACCTCCCTTGGACTTAAAATTTTCATGAAAAAAAATATTGTTTTTTTTAATACTTTCTTTTTTTCTGAATGTACCTACTTCAAACTTCATATATATGTTTCTTATTATCACTCAACATTTGTGAGAAAGTTCAATACTCTAGCAAGACTATTTCCAGAATTATGCCCCTTTTGAACTTAGACTTTTTTTTCGAGAAATTGGTAATTTTTACTCCAACTTTTACAATCATGATAGGATTTTCTTCAAACTCCCACATCATAATAATATGACAAGGTTTATAAATCTAGCATCCATATTTCCAGAATTATCTTTTCCTTAAACTTTTAATTTTTCTTATTCGTTATTTTTAAATTTTATTTGTTACACTCACATCATGACTATGACCATTTGCATCTTTATTTCAAGAGTTATCTCCTTTTTAAAAATGTTGCTTTTAAAAATGTTATATTTTGATAACAGGGATGTTTTAAAAATAACTGTAGAGTGTCCTTCAGTCCGTCTGTCTGTACATAAAAACTGTTTCCTGTGATTACTTTTATGGAACTTTTTCAACAAATTTACTTAAAATAGAAACATAAGTGAATTGCAAATTAATGGCCCTTCAGAATGTTGCTGGGGTTCTAACCGGTAGGGGACTTATGGATTGCTTGCAATACTATGACAATTGCTTGTTTTTATAGTAGTTTAAATATTGATATAGGTGGGACCGCTGATATTTCTGTACATGAGAAACAACCAAGTGGTCAACTCAAAGAACTCCATAAAGCCAGCGGGGGTCCGTGGGGTGGAAGCTATGTCGACAACAACTATATTAGTTGCTTAACTAATATTTTCGGAAAAGCTACTATTGATAGATTTAAAAAGGAACAAATGGCAGATTTCATCGATTTGCATAGAGAATTTGAAACAAAGAAACGAGGAATTAGATTTGACACCGAGGGGAAAGTCACCTTTAAGGTATATGTAGCTATGATGGACATATTTAAGGACATTGAAAGTCACAGTCTTCAGGAAAGTATAGAAAATGTTGGTCTAAGTGGCAAAATTACAATCACAGGTGATAAGCTTAGGGTTGATAGCTCCGTTGTAAAAAGTTGGTTCGACGGTCCTGTTGACAGCATGATTTGCCATGTAAAAGATATATTATCTGAGCCAAAAATGAAAGATGTGAAACTAATGCTCTTAGTAGGTGGCTTCGGGGAGAGTCAATATGTGCAAAATAGAATGGTGAAAGAATTTGGCAGCAAATACGTGATTATCCCGGAAGAAGCGGGACTTGCTGTCCTGAAAGGCGCCGTGAGATTTGGCCACGATCCTGATATAATGTCTGCACGAGTGATGCAGTATACCTACGGGATTCGTATTCTGCTGCCATATGATGAGTTTTTACATCCGTCTAGAAAGTTAAAGGTCGTAAATGGTGAGAAGAAAGCGAAGGATGTGTTTGATAAGTTTGTCACAGTTGGCTCGGAAATTCCTGTTGGATACAAGGTTACTAAGAGGAAAACTCCAAACGATATGAACCGTACATTTATACCTGTATTCAGAGCATCTTCTGATGCTCCGTATTTCACAACAGATCAGGGTTGCACGGAAATCGGATTTCTGGTGATAAATCACCCTGAAGGTAAAAGTCTGCAAGATAAAGTATTTGATGTCACATTCACATTTGGTGATACAGAGTTGTTTGTGGAGGCAAAAATGCTGCATTCTGAAAGAGAATTTAGTTTGACCATCGACTGCTTGAAATGAAATGTGAGAACAAAATATAAGATATACAATGGAGATCTATGACATATACGGAATGCATGTTCTCAATTTTAGCTTGATTTAAAATTAATAGAAATGTTTTATATCTTCTACACTTTCTAGAAACTGGTAAACATATATTCGAGAGCAGAATAATTATTAAACAGATATGTTGGAATGTGCTTGCAAATTTATTAGATTAACGGTGCGCACTGTGAAAAGGAATAGCTGATTGTTTATGTAGGAACAAGCTTTGGAAATTAAATATTGGAACTGTTTTGAATATCAATCGGTGCATTAAATTCATGTCATTGGAAATTTTAATAAAAGAAGTTATTTTGAAATGAATATACCGGTTTATGTTTATTATATCTCCGAAACGAAGTGGGGGAGGTATATAGGAGTCACCCAGTGCTCGGTAGGTCGGTCAAGCGGTTTGTTGCATTTTCCTTGTCCGAAGCATAACTTGAAGACTAGTGGTTAGAAGTCAATACAACTTTATACATTTTTCAAGCTCATTGAGAGTAAGTGCAGTGCACAAGTACGATAAATCTATATTGACTAATTACAGTGTTAATCCCCTTTGATACTTTTCCTGATCCGGAGCATTCCTTAGCACTCATTGGAATTCAAAACAGCTTCATACACATGGTCATGCACACAGAGGAAAATCAATGCATAAGAACCATAACTATATCTAAAATAATCTTAGAGTGATTGTCCTTTGTTACATTTCCGTTGCATTTTCCGTGTCTAGAGCAGAACTTGAAAACCACTAGCTGGAATGCAATACAACTTCATGCAATGGTCAAGCACAATGAAAGAAAGTACAGTGCACTAAACCCATAACTCCATCTTGACTAATCACATAGTTATTGTCCATCATTACTTTTTCTTGTCCAGTGCATAGCTTGAGGACTTATGGGTGGAACTCAATGCCACTTTATACAATGGTCAAGTACAATAATGGGAAGTGCAGTGCACAAGAAACATAACACTATCCAGAGTAATGATAAAGTAATTGCCCATTGTAACTTTTGCTTGTCGCAGAACAAAACATGAAATCTACTGGTTAGAATTCAATACAAGTTCGTGCATTGGTCATGTATATTGAGAGGAAGCGCAATGCACAGGAACCATTACTCTTTCTTGACTCATTTAACAATTATTGCCCTTTGTTACTTTTTATTGTCCAGTGCTTAAATTGAAAATTTAATTTTAATTTACTTGATGGATGACACGGTTATGGACCTGACATGACATTTACCCTCAAACAGACAATGTTAACTTTTTATCACCAAGTTGGACCTTGACCTTGGAGGTAGGATAAAATGTAAAGCATGTCACATAGTCTTATTATAACTAGAGCTATCATTCAAGGTGATAAATTACCCCACCAGCAACTTTTGACTTTTTGAAAAATAAGTTGTCTGAAGAAAAAGTTGCAATGCAACACCAGTGTGGGTCTTTATATAAGCTTGCTGTATTACAATACCTAATTCAAAACTATAGTTATCACCCTGTAACCATGATGGAGACCAACGGACCGAATCGACGAACTGAATCCTATATATCGCCCTCAACTTCTTTTACGGGTGCAGAATAAACATTTGCGCCAATCTATTTCAAACTCCTTTAATGAATGGCTTAGTAACGGACCGGACACGAACCTTTGACGGACAAACAGACAGACGAACAATCCCTTTTTTCTTCGAAAATGCGGGGTACAATAAATAGATAAATTGTTTAAATACAGCACATGTATCTTCGACTAAAACAGTTTTCAATGCCTTTGATATTTAGGTTAGATTTTACGCCGAAACAACACAGTAGAGGTCATGGCAACTTTCGAGCTTTACTGGCGGAGGAAGACCTCAGACAAGCCTCTGTTCATTATTACATAAGACGAGAATTAAGATCAACAAGACAAAGGCAACGTTTACATGGCGCAGAGTCCTGTGGAAACCAAACGGGCATCAGAAAAGAACCACCAATGTTCTGTTAGCTAGATAAATATCTAGCTTCGATCTAAAGTCGAAACCCTTTGGCGGGAATAGTTACAATACAATGGCCTTTAGCAAATAATATATTTTTGTAGTAAAGGTTTGCAGTATTTTCAATGACTTAACTACCTACACTTTATTTAAAGACCACTTATTGATTACCTCCGTCTTTTTACCAACATTGAAATATACTGAACCTTAAAAGAACTTTTGAATCCTGTCAAGGGATAAACTGACCAATTTTGCAAACTGAAGCGGTTTTTCTTAAAAATCACCAGTTGTGTATAATTATGTGGAAAACCCTGACAATTTTGCACGTACTTTATGTAATGATGTAATGTATGTTTGAAACATAAGTAAAATTGATTGTTAGATTATTAGTCGAAATTTGAAAAATGTCCTCAATTGGTCATATATTTTACATGATATTGTAGAGAGAAAAAAAACAATTATAGTTGTAATTGTTTCGCATGACAAAACGTGTTGACTATTTAAACCACCCTTTAATATTTGTGCTAGATATATAGGAGCTAAAATCAATAACAATATAAATAATGCAAAATAAAAGAAACAAAGTAGCAATATTGGCACAAGTTATTTAAAAAGATTATATATACGAATGTATTATTATTTAGCAATATAGCCCGGTTAGCTCAGTCGGTAGAGCATCAGACTTTTAATCTGAGGTTCATGGGTTCGATCCTATGTGGGGCGCAACTTTTTTTCTTTCCTTTTTTAAAATATAGTGGTGCTACTTCTGGTAAAATGTAGATCTTTATGTTATTATTTCGTTAATAATTAAGTGTTTTAACCTTGTTTATCATCGTCGATTACACATGGCCGAAACATTAACATTATATTTTAATCAACCGTTGGTATCCGATAATGATTGTATGTTTAAAAATATGGGACAAATAAAGTAACATTCTAAAATACTAAAATGAAAACAACATTGTGCATCAGCAATGATCAAAATCATCAAAACAACAGGTCTAGGAAAGACTCTCATCCAAAATAGAGCGGGCAAAAAAGTCAGTCGGCAATTTTCGGCATTTTTAAGCAGTTGTGCAATAGACGCATGCAATTTTTATACCACAACGTTTCCACATTTTGTGACAAGTACAATGATGACTCGATATGGAATTCTGGACTCTCAAAATAAAAGAAATAAAATAAAAGAGGAATGTAAGAGAAAATGAGGTCAGATGGAGTATTTACAAAGTTTTATTTTTGAAAAATAAGTCAAATTGATTATAAGATTATCTATTTATAAGTCAAAATTTGAAAAATGTCCTCGAATTATTTACTACGAGAGGTCAAAGCTTTTTAACGTGATATTGTACATTTTGTAGAGAGAAAAAAAAGATTATAGTTGTAATTGTTTCGCATGACAAAACATATAGTCTATTTAAACCACCGATATATAGGAGATAAAATCAATATCTATATATAAAAAAAAAACAAAGTAGCAATATTGAACAAAGTTGTGCAATAATTTTAAAATAGTATATATACGAATACATTTTAAACTGGCAAATATAGCCCGGCTAGCTCAGTCGATAGAGCATCAAACGGTTAAGTGACGTCATCCTAAGAACGCAATTCATTCATAAAAGGCGCGCAGCAATGACACCTTTTAAAGCACGCGATAGGGGGGTGTAAGACAGGATTTTCTAGCACCGGTGTAAACCTGGGACCATCGGAATACCGTTCCGCGGCTCTACCACACATCCGACCGCTTACACATCTTCTCCCCTAAATAGTGAACAGTTCCGAAGGTCCCGGGTTCACGTCCCGGTCAGGCTGCACATTTTTCTCACCATGTGACACTAAAAAATGATACAAATAGAAATTTGGAAAAAAAGTTTGTTTAGGACTTGAACTTGCAACTTCGCGATTGTCTTGTTATCATACTTACCACCAGGACATCCGGCCGTAAGTATCATATAAAGTATCCAGAACTTTACTGTCATCGAACACCAATTAGTAAATCATGATAAATTACGGAAACAGACGAAAACTTCGGAAAATTTATCAGTCTCAGGTCAATATTGCCAAACAATACTTTTTCCAAATTGTAATTGTAAATGTATGCATGTCCGACAATGAAATCTGCATCGATATGACCATTAAAACCTAGCTGTTTTAATTTGTTTAAACGAGGTTGTATTGATGCAAGATATCAAAGTAGGTATAAGCATGTAAAGAAGATAAAAGAAACGATAATAAAGTAATAATGGAAAAAATAGAATAGGAAAATACTACAACGAAGACAACGTGCATCAGCAATGATCGAAACAACAAAGGTCTAAGTACGAATCGAACCCAACATTGAGCGGGAAAAAGACACTCGGCAATTTTCGGCATTTTAACCAGTGCTATAGACGGTGCGATTTATATACCACAATTTTTCAACATTTTTACAACGATGATTTGATATGGAATTTTGGTATCTCAAAATGAATAAATATATAATAAATAAATAGATAAATAAACAAAATAAAATACAACGGAAATACAAGATAAAATAAATAAAAAAGGAATATAAGAGAAAATGAGGTCAGATGGAGTATTTACAAAGCTTTATTTATGAAAAATTAGTAAAATTGATTGTTCGATTATGTATTTATAAGTCAAAATTTGAAATATCTTCTCGAATTATTTATTAAGACAGGTCAATGCTTTTTAACAGGTCAGTGCTTTTTAACATTATATTGTAGAGAAAAAAAAATTATTATAGTTGTGATTGTTTCGCATGACTATATAAGCGACCGTTTAATATTTGTGCTAAATATATAATAGATAAAATCAATACTTATAGAAAATAATGCAAAATAAAAACAATGAAGCAATATTGAACAAATGTTGTGCAATAATTTAAAAATATTATATAAACGAATACATTTTGAATGGAAAATATCGCCCGGCTAGCTCGGTAGGTAGAACATCAGACTTTTAATCTGAGGGTCATGGGTTCGAGTCCCATGCTGGGCGCAACTTTTTTGAGTTAGTCAAGTCATGATAATTTCAACGTTCCCCTCTAAAAGGATGTTGTACATGAATTTCACAGAGTTACAGAGCAATGTAAATTAAACTCTGAGCTATATACAGTCATGGTCCCCCGTTCGGCGGCAATGTCACAGGGTGAGAAAAATGTGCAGACTGACCGGGACTCGAATCTGAGGGTCATGGGTTCGAGTCCCATGTTGGGCGCAACTTTTTTGAGTTAGTCAAGTCATAATAATTTCATTGCCTTTAATGCAGTGGTTCTGTAAAATCGATGCATTTATATCATTCATTAGTTGTTCACATAAAACGCAAAGTAATATTATTGT